GAATCCGTGCTATAGAAGTGCCGTGTTATACGGGGGTTACCTGTATTACAATAACTACGTTTGTATTTAGATAGAAAAATTATAAGCTCTTACCTGTTAATTCTTTTTGTTCGTCAGGCACCATCGAAGGTGCGACAATCATGGGTACAGAACCGAAAACTCCATTAGAAAGACCTAAAAAGAGTGACAGAACCATGGCCCATTCTTCGTTTTTCAATAAAGGATCACCTCTCGGAGCCGCACACATGGCTAAAAGCGGAACAAGCACAATTCTGACGGATGAAAATAATACCAATTTGGCTTTTGTCCAATCGTATGGTATGGAAGCTAAAATCTTTTTTTTTTTTTTTTAAATAAGAAAAGGTAAACAATTAGTTCCAGAATATATTTATTTAGAAACATATTCAATAATCAAATTGTAAAGAAATTAAAGCAATCAAATTTATGGTTTTAGAAAAAGGTATCTAGAAAGTACAGTTCCTCTGTCAATCACGCTTTAGTATTATTCATTATAAAATGATACCACGACAGTTTTAAATTCTGGTGTATGAATGCCAATTAAAAAGCAGAACACTTTCATAATATACATCATTTTATAGAGATAAACAGATGTCACGCTGTATGACACGCCTTTCAAAATGGCTGCCATTTTGCTTGAAAATGGACTAAAATAAGCAGTAGATAAAGTGATTTTAAAGCTTTGAATTCTGTATCTAAAATAGTCTAAAAATTTATCGATTTAAGTAGCGAATACTGCGTGTTTGGTAATAAGTTTGATTAAAGAATAGGTAAAGAAATACATCTTACATTTTACCAATGTCTCAGAAACCAAAGAAGGGATGAATATTGAAAAACAGAAGGAGAAGCGATGGAGAGATTCAATAGTGTCAGCTGAAATAAATCCATAAAAGAAAATAATAAAAAAAATATTGATGAAAGGTGACACGTCGAAAGTCGAATGGAGTCGGAAAAATGCTCCCGAAATCAAAAAAGTATGAAGAAGTAAAAGATTAAAGTCATTGAATGGTTCATCTAATATTCTTTTTTTCTTGTATGTTGACTAGAAATGTACTTGCTTCATGTTATTTGTGAGGAATTTAATATAAAAATATATAATACATCACGTAGAAATACTTCAACGTGTTACTACTTGTCGAGATAAAAGGAAAAAATGTGGGAAAATAAGAAATAAATAAATAGTAAAGTTATTTCTTATTTTGCCACATAAAATTTCAGAGCAAAAGTAAAATTATTATTTTTAATTTAATTAAACTGTATATCAAGTTGTTTTCTACCTGTTTTTGAAGATGGCACTCCATTGGCTCACTTTGCAATGTGACCACATCCGATACCCAATCATTTATTTCAAATGTAAACAAATTATTGGGTATCGGAGATTGTTGACACATACCTAGAAGCTGGAAATCCCTGAAGTGTTGTGAAGACCAGGTTGAAGCTTCCTTTCTGAATATTTTTATGTGTAGTTTATACGTGCCTCACTCTAGTCAATATGTGAAATAATGTGTGAAAGATATTAACAATTTATTGTAAATTAAATTGTAGCATATTAGAATAAAGGTATTTTAAAGGCCATGTCAGTACCCATAGGGAAAGGAGCAAAAAAAAAAAAAAAAACTGATACTACTCTAAACAATGTTTCCATCTGTTAAAATAACTCAATCAAATATTTTAAATGTCAGAAACTTCCTGGAAACTAATTTAAAACATGTCAAAAGTGTCCTCCATTTTATAACATTTGATATATGAAGACAGTAATAAAAATTATGTTCTTGATGATATTTATTTTTATAACATATCATACACTTCTAACTATTGTGGGCATGGCCGAATCAATAATGGGCTTGCTAAAAGAGACTCTCTTAGTACCCACAGAGCAGAAAGAGTTAAGAATCCCAGGCAACTGTCATTCTTCTCTATAGAGAGCAGGAGACTATGTATATGTATACAGTCGACCCCCCTATAAGATCATTGATTTTTCCGTTTTATCTGAATTACATGTTGTACGAGTCACTTAGATTTTACAAATACGTGTGCCGGGCTGTGAACGGCTCACATATTTGTAAAATCTAAGTGACTCGTACAACATGTAATTCAGATAAAACGGAAAAATCAATGATCTTATAGGGGGGTCGACTGTATANTATTGATTACGCTTAAGCAATTATTAAGACTACACACGCATCTTCGTGTTCCTGATAACGTTAATTAATTCAATATCTGTGCATAGATATTGTGTGTACAGTCGACCCCCTCTATAAGATCATTGATTTTTCCGTTTTATCTGAATTACATGTTGTACGAGTCACTTAGATTTTACAAATACGTGTGCCGGGCTGTGAACGGCTCACATATTTGTAAAATCTAAGTGACTCGTACAACATGTAATTCAGATAAAACGGAAAAATCAATGATCTTATAGAGGGGGTCGACTGTACACACAATATCTATGCACAGATATTGAATTAATTAACGTTATCAGGAACACGAAGATGCGTGTGTAGTCTTAATAATTGCTTAAGCGTAATCAATAATGTATTATATTTTGCTAACCGTGTTTGCATGCAAGCCAACAATATTTCATTTTATAGCTTATCAGAACTGATTAATCTATCAAACTTACTTGTTACATCAAAAATATTCGTGTTAGTATTACTTACTGAATTTTCTAATATCCAGTCTCTTTAACATTATAATAAATCTCGTATAAACACTGCAGCACATTTCTTTATACTAATATCAGCTCATAAATATAAGGTACGGATCAACAGATATAGAAAATTTTTCTTAAATCCAAGAAAAATTTTATATAAAATCTTAAAACCTGTCTTCTAGGGACATAAAAGAAATCGAAACACTAATAATTTATTGTAATATAAATGTTAATTGCTTAAGTAAATGAGTAGATATTCAGAGTACAGGTTTGAGCAATACAAAAAATTTGAAATTAAGAATAGAATGCATGCAACATTCAAGAATTGCATGAGTTCTATTCTTATAATATTAATATCCTTACTGACAATTAAGTGTTCTATTAGGGTTGCCAGGTATTTGGGGATAAAATCCGGAACAAAATGAGTTCTTCCCCGAAAGACACTGGGACACTTCAATTCCAGGTCATGCAGTAGATGTGTATTTTTACTCTTCCAGTGGCAAGCACATTTAAAATGTGGTAAAAAAAAGAATATTTCATTGTAGGAACAGATTTTAGAATAGATCTCCTGTCGCTAGATGGCTATGGGAAAAATATCCAGGATAATCCCCGAAAATCGGGAAATCTGGCAACTCTGTTTGATTTGTGTTAATATGCGAAATAAATGATTTTAGCTGTAGATTTACTTATTAAAATATAAAGAAATGTTCATCCAAGGATGCTCTGAAAAACTAAAATTAAAAAATTAATAATAATAAGTAAAGAAGTTATTACAAGAATCCTTCATGTATGCAAGAAGGAATCTTTTCTTGTAATGTTTATAATGTATAATTTATTGTACAACTGACAAGATTAATATGAAAATTTATCGTAGTTATCTTAAACTAATGTATATATAGTTTTTACTTCTGTAACTACCCTCATTTTTCATGTTACTATTTAAATATGCAATCATTCAAGATGGCCTCTACAGTTGAAATTATGGACAATTATAAACTATACCCGTGAAATTATGTTCGTGATCGCCAACATTTTTAATTATTATTATTTTTTTAATTTGCATATTAAGCTAGTTTTTACAACATAATTTACTTTAATGCTT